TGCCAGGTGGCTGTGATGCCATTCATAAGGACTTCAACAAGCTGGAGAAACAGGCAAACAAGAACCTCATTAAATTCAACAAAGGGAAATACCAAGTCCTACACTTGGGAAGAAAGACCCACTTGCACTAGGACATTCTGAAGTCCCACAGCCTGGAAAGCAGCTTTGCAGAACAGAACCTGGGGTCCTGGTGGGCAAGTTGCCCATGACAGCAACACGCCCTTGCAGCAAAGGCCACCGACAGCACCCTGGGCTGTGTTAGGAAACACTGCCAGGGGGTCAAGGAAGGTGACCCTTCCCCTCTACTCTAAATAGGAGTTAGACCCACTCAAAGTGCTGTGTCCAGTTCTGGGCCTCCAGTACAAGAGAAACTTGGACATACCGGAATGAGTAAAGAGAAGGCCACTAACAGATTGGAGCATCTGATATATGAAGAGGGGCCGAGAGATCTGGGATTGTTTAACTGGAAAAGACTCAGGGCTAGCCTTAATCAATGTGTATCATTACCTGATGGAGGGAGTAAAGAAGATGGAGCCAGACTACTCTCAGCAGTGTCCAGTAAAAGGACAATAGGCAATGGGCAAAAATTGAAGCACAGAAAATTCCTTGTAAACTAAAAGATTACTATTTTTTTTAGTACCACAACAGCAGTCAAACACGGGAATAAGTTTCCCTAGAGGGTGGAATCTCCATCTTAGGAGGTAATTGAGAACACTCTGGACATGGCTTTGAGCAACCTGCTCCAGCTGACCCTGCTTTGAGGGCCTGGACCAGACTGTCTCCAGAGGTCCGTTCTAACCTCAGTTACTCTGTGGACTTGGGATAGGAACAATGCACACTTCAGATAATCCAATTCTCCTATATGTTCCCCTCTAACAGCCAGGTAAATATTCTATTTCCATGACAAACCAGTACCTTTTGAATCTCCTGTCAGTATTTCCCCTGCCAACAAAATAAGCCAAAGAGTGGCTCTGAGAAGGTGCTCAAGTATCCTGTGTTTCTACAGCTCTCCTGTTGATCAGCTGTTTCTTAAAGCAGTTGCAATCCAGCTGACCCTAAACTGTTTGCCACAAACAGCCCAAATAAGAACATTTTCACAAGTGATCATCCCTGCTTTTGGGTCTCCCATCTTCCACTCTTGGGGTCTTACTCCATAGAGCTTGCCAGTTCAGTTTCATAATTACTCACACTTCTACAGATATGGATGAATTATCCAGCTTCCTGTCATCACTTGTTTATTAGTGTTTCAGCAAAGAACTACGATAACAATGTTCACATTCATTCCTTGTCAGCTTTCATGTTACATCCTCTCATCTGAGACCAGAATTCTCTTACAGTAGGTTTTTAAAAAAAAAAAAAAGGATTCCACAGTACTTTGGTAGAAGAATAGCTGACAACCTTCTTGTCCTTGAGAAGGGACTGGAGTGGGGAGGGAGGAATATTCAAGTATTATTTTGTACAGTAAAACAACTTCCCCAGACTCAGCTGAAGAACTCTGTTTACTTCCCCTCAGCTGATGCGCTGAAGAATGGCTGAAGCATTTCCACTCCAGCAGCAGCCACAATTTAGCTATGGAACAGGGATTTCCCTCTGCAGGCTGAAGCACTCTTTCACATGAAAAGCACTCTGTGGAACATACTGTAAATGTAGAACTATTACACAACTATTATCTAGTGATGTTGGCATGAGGAAGCTAGAGGGAGGAAACAGGAAGGATATAAATACAAATCTGCAATCTTTTATATTTTACTCACATAAGGGAAAATCACCAGTGTCCAGAGTTCCAAGAAAAATATCTGAGCTACTATGTTGGTGAACAAAAATAAAAGTGATACACATTCATTTTACACAGCATTTGAGTAAAGCAGAAATAAAAAATTCCCAGAGCCTCAGTCCCACAGAAACTTGTGGGCACTAGACTCCTAAGGAATAAAATGGGATTTGATATCAACTCACTTCAGCAGACTTTAGCCTTTGTGCTCATTTCTCCCTGCTGCTTTTTCACCTCCACCACCAAAATGTTTTGATATATGACTCACAGCTAAGAACATTTCAGAGGACACATTCAAAAGATTTCAGCAGACACTGTTCTGACAGGTTTTTTAAACAATGAAAAATGTTGCTAAAGATTACAGAAACAACCCAAAAGTTGAACGGGTGCTGGGAAGAATCAATAAACACCACCTTTAATGGGAAATTAGGAGTTTCAGTGGAAGAGTGTCTCACCCTCTTACTATTTAGCTTCGTAACTTTACAAACAACATTCCAATCTCTTATGTATATTTTTGTTGAGATTTTTTTGGAAAAAGAATGCTTGTGGAAATAAAAGAATTAGTCCAAAATATTCTCTACCTTTTAAATAGCTGGCACCTTGACAATTGCTCTTAAGTCACAAGCAGCAAAACAAAAACTCACTGATCCTCACTGCCAGTAATTTTTCAGGAATGTAGCAAGCAAAGCTGAGATAACAACTGGGACACATCTAAAATGCAGTCTTAAAATGATCTTCTTAACATTAAATGCCTTCACATTTTTTCTGGCTGTGGAAAGTGCTAGAGAACTCTTTACAGCTATTTTAAAATTTAAGCCTGATGCTGTCAGCTTTAAAGTACTTCTGGATGACAGAGAGGAGACTTCATATGTAAAACGGGAATCATCACTTTGTCCTTCTGCTTCTCGGACCCGAGTAGAAGGGAGCTGGGAGAGCGGTGGAGGACATGCAGGAGAAGAACATGGTTTGAAAGCCTGCAAGACCAACGCTGCAAAGAGCACACAATACTCGGTGTGCGAAGGCGCAGCGTGATCTCAGCACAACAAAGTTGACTTTGCATAAACATCTATAGGCGACAAAATGTTGATACACTGACGCTAGAGATGTTTAAACAAGCATTTTGCACCAGAGAGCCTTCTCCCAGCTCCCTTCCACAGTCACTGCTGTTATGTGGCAGACCTGCTTTATACACAACACGAGACTTCAGACAAAGGTTTCTGTGGATTCCTACGAGCATCATCCTTGCAGTTCAACAGCTCCCGAGGCACTCAGCGTTAAGGTCACCGCCGAGTCCTTCACCTGCTTTACAACACCTGGTTAAAGCCCAGGACCACCTATGCAGCCCTGGGAAACCTCCACCCTGCAGACAGACCCAGCACCTCAGCGAGCACTCCCCTGCTTTCGCCAAACTGCATTTTGCTTATTCGTCTCCACAGGCCTCCAGCCTTTTTTCCAGCACGTTTGTCCCTTTTTATATTTTCAAGCTCATCTCCACCTTTAGGGGACCAGGGAACCATATTCTACTACCACCTCCACTGCCTCCCCTTCAGCACGTCTCCTAACAACGCCACGTAGATCCAGATAATCATCTGGGATGAGCACTCCGGGCAGCCCCCGGTGTTCCTGAGGGAATATGTTCCCCTCACACGCCCCAAACCTTCTCCCCCAGCCCGGCTCGCCCCGAGTCCGCTCCCCCCTCACACCGCCCCGCCACCACAAGCACCTCACTTCTCCCTCTCCCAGGTGCCCGCCAGCTCTTTTTGTGTCCCCAGCGTGTCCCGGGGGCCTCCCCCGTCCCCTCAGGGCACGGAGACACCGGGGAGAGCCGCATATTCCAGGCACGTCCCTCTCCCTCAGCGGAGGGGGATGGGAAGAGCAGCAGCCGGAGCGGCACCAGCCGGGGCGTCAAAGCGGAGGGAAAACGGGGACAAGACGGGAACTGAGCGCTGGGAATCCCTCCCCAGCTCCATCCCGGGGCTCCTGAGGGCGAGCAGAAAGCAGATGAGAGGAAAGGGGCTCCCCCTCAGCGCTGCTCCGGCGGGACGCTGAGGGCGGCATCGCGCTCCCCCCCACCCCGCGCCGGGGGCGGCCCGGCACCCACCTTGAGAGTGGGGTACTCCTGCACCTTCAGGGTCATTGAGAGCTGGGCGGCCGATTCCTGCACCGCCATCTTGGATCGGGCACCGGCCGCCTTCCCCCCCTCCCCCCCACACTCTTTTTCTCTCCCTCCCTTTTCCCTCCCGCCCTCCTTCCCAGCGCGTCCCGGCGGGAGCTACCTACGGCGCGCGCGGCATGCCGGGAGACGGCGCGCGCCCCGCCCCGGCCCTCATGGAATCGGGACGAACCAACACCGCCCCCTTCTCCCCCCCTTTTCCCACTTGGCCTTGGTACGCTCCAAGAGGGCGGGGAAAGAGCGATGGGGCGCCGGCCAATGAGCGCCGCTCTTTCTACACGTTTCTCCTCAGAGCTTGAGAAGCCGCGCCTGATTGGACAAACCGGCGCCAGGAATGGGCGGGGCCGCGTGGGCGCGCGGACAAATCGAGCGGGGTGACAGCATCGGGGTGGGCGGGACTTCGGAGGTTTATGGACACCCCCGCCAGCCAGTGGCGACGCAGAGGCGATTCCCCACCGCCCAATCGGGGCTCAGCGGGCGGGGCCTAAAAGTAAATTTTGACGGCGACTTAAAGCGGCCGTTTGAGCGCCCCCCGGGGCGCGCGGGGCGGGGCAGGGCGGGGCCAGGGGGCGGGGCGCACCTTGACGGGCAGTTCCTCCAACCAACGGCGTCGCGTCTCGCGCTGACGGGCAGGCGGCTCAGCGAATGGGCGGCGGGTGGAGGCGGGGCGGCGGGCGGTGCGTGGCGGTGTGTCCATGGCGGGGCGGGGCCGCCCCCCGCGAGTTCCGCGGGGCGGAGGGAGCGAGCGGGACCCGGCGCAGCGGCGGCGGCGGGAAGAGGTTTTTAAGCAGCGGCGGCAGCAGCGCTGAGCGTCCCCCCCTTTTTCCCCCGGCTCCCCGCTTCCCCCCGGGGGCCGGCGCGGAGTTTCGCCCCGGTGAGCGGAGGCGCGGGGCGGGTCCCGCCGCAGCCCCGCGCGGGACGGCGTGTGGGGAGGGCTGGCGGCTGCGTGGGGCTCGTGGTCTCTCCGTGAGCCCCGCGGTGCCTCCACAGGTGCGGGGTTCGGGGCTCCCCTCGCCGCTGTTGAGTACAGCAGGATTCCCGGCTGGATTCCCCCCGGGAGCTGCGGGCATCCCGGAGGTTTTGCGTGACCTCCGTGCAGTTGTTGAGCGGGCGGTGATTCCTCTGCCGGGCGCGCGTGAGTGTTTCCATTGAAATAAAAAGGGATCCTGATCCTGCGGGTTGTTCCTACTCGTGCATCTGAGGGAATACAGACACTTTTGGAGTATCGGTCCTCTCTGGCAGTTGGTGTAAAAACTGCTTTTTAGATAACACGTGGAGGGCAGCGCGTTGAGGTTCCTCCCTCGCAGGACCCACGCGAAGCTTCTCTGGGCTCCTCAGTGTGAAAAAAAGCACCTGGTCAGACCTTGGAGCACGTCAGATTTGCAGCGTAATTAGCAAAGGGGAAACACACTGTACATGCAGTGATATAAACTTTATTCTGTTGTTGAAGTCCGTGGCAAAAGTTTAGTTCTGTGATGCAGGTGCTTGCCTTGCAGATACACTTCAAGTGGTGTGCTGCTCTAATCTAAGGCTTTAAAGGCACCCCAAAACCTATATCCATTAATAATAATAATGTTTGGTGGGGTTTTTTTTATTTTTTTTTTCCTGTCCTTTCTAAACATCGCGGTATTGATTTTTCCTTTTCTAACAGAAAACTGTTAGAAAAATTTAGCACAAATACTCCTAGGAAGAGTAAAACACGTGTAACTTTCATGGTTTGAAATGAGCAAGCCAGATTGAACAAGTATGATTCTTAAAAATCTTTGGTGACATTAATTCTGATGTACGTAGACCCCGTTGCACTGAGAGCATCTGTCCACCACAAAGGGCTGGTGGTAAATGAAAGGAAATGTGTGAAGTCATGTAGCCAAGTGTTGAAATCTCTTCAGCTCTGGACTGCCAACTATTTACTTATGTTTACTCATAGCTGCCCCAGCATTCAGCCTGGTACTGACCATAATCAGCAAATAGATGCCCAAACATAACTTGCCAAGCCCACACCAGGTGTGAAGCCTTTGTTTAAGATGTGTATTAGTAAAAACATTTGTGTTAGTTACACCTGGAATTAACATTCGTGTCTAGACACGATCCTGGGGCCAGATTCTGCAAGGGGATTTGTGTAAGGAGGATTTTGACTCCATTAAGGTTCTGTGCAGGGAATGCTTGTCAGGTGGAGGATTGATAACTTAGCTCCATTGTTGCTGTATTTACAAACATAAATATATGGCATTGTAAAATATTCCTGTTGTTCCTGTCTGTCTTAAATATCCTGTAAGCTAATATTTAGAAGGAAATTTGCTGTTCAGTATTCTACATGATTGATGTTACTGAACTTTGCATACTTTAACTCTTTAGGCCTGTGACGTTTATAGGGACTGAAGGAGTGGGACTTGCCATTTAATTTATGAAGTTGTGTATGTATTTGTCCAAAACACTTATTTGCAACAGATTTTGTTTATATATAATCTCTTAATGGTCCTTTCTGATAGCACAGTCACTAATTTAGGGTAACAAAGATAGTCTGTGGATGCAGGTCATGTGCTCAGGCTGTATCTGTCTTTAAACTGGAGGGTTATTGGTGAAGGTTTGTGAGACATTAGTAGCCAAAGTTAAAGGGGTTGCTTACTGGAACAGATGGCCAAGCAACCATCATGTCAGAGAAAACAGCATGTATTCGTGTATTCTTAGTTTAACACAAGAGGGAGCATGTCTAATCTTTAACCTTTAAATATTGCAACTTCAGAGAGGAAGCTTGAAGTGTTGAGTGTCAACTAATTTATATTCAAGGCTCCATGTGCAAATATTGATACAACCTATGCATATTTCTGGCATGTTTTCAACTTTAGGCCGCAACTGTTGATTTATAGTGTAAATCTTGGCATGATAAATGTGGAGATAAGGGCTAAGCTAATGATCTTTTGAAGTTGTTAAAATCTGTAGTTTCCTGCTAAATTTAACAAAATATTAATGGTTATTGTTATTCATGAGTATGGTTATTAATATACAGAGGTTGTACTTCATTCTTTAATATTAGGCTAATACATCTTCTGCTTAACCTACCATACAAAGTTATAAAGCCGAGTCTTAATTTTATTAAATTTAACTTAATTACCAAAACACCTTTGCTTTCAGTGTTCTTATAAATCCTACTGCTTTATTCTTAAACAGGAAGTACGAATTTTGATCTACTAAGAAGGTTTTTGTACTGTATCTTTTTTAGTTTTCCTTGTCCCCGGTGGTATAAAAGGAAGATTAAAAATGAGCTTCCATTTTGTATTTCTTGGCATTGTCCTGTTCAGTCATAATCTGTTAATGTTTGTCCTCATTTAGTGTCTTGTTATTGTGAATTAGCAATTAGTTAAACTTAAGATGTGTGCACAGAATACTCCAAACCTTTAGGAGGACCTTATTCATTTGTTTCCAATGGCCTTCTGCTTTGCTCCAGATTGATGGTTGGAGAAGAACATCTGTCTACCTTTAAACACTGCATGCAAATTATGTATCTTCCAAAATCATAAACACTCTGCCTGTTATTTGGTGGAGCAGAGCAGAAACTTAAGGGCTCTGCTTCCATGTGCTGAATAAAACTCTGTGGATTGAGATTTTACTACACTTGCTTCTCTTTTGTGTTTGTGGCCATTACAATCCTGGTGCCAGGTGGCAGAATTGGGTATGTGTCACCATCATTCCTTGTTTTCAGAGACAAGATTGGCATAAGCCCCTGATGTGAAGTCCTGTGCTGGATCAGGTGGGAGCACAGGTTGTCCCACTGTTCAGAGGACCTCTCAGATGGGTGGTGGCTATGCTATCCATCTTGTAATGGAGAAGTTGGAGCTTTCACTATATTCTTCTGGTGAGTTTGGATGTTTGTGAAATACTTAGGCCTTCACCTTCAATCTGTGCTAATTTTTTCTTCTGAATTGTGGGAGAATTTTTGGTATTTTTTTAACAACTACTGTGCACAGTGTACTTGACAGAGCAAGGTGTTAATATCAAAGCAGCTTGTCTTCACAACATGCCAGGCAGCTGTCCTTGCAAGGCAGAAATGTGAGATGACCTGTACTAATATTGCATACCTTCAGATACATGGAATCATGGAATGGTTTGGGTTGGAAGGGACTTTAAAGATCACCCAGTTCCAACTCCCATAGATTATATGAATATTATAAATTCAGTAAGTGTTAGGACTTTTAGAGGATGTTCTATATCAGTCAAAAGGGGCAAAACTTATGCTTTGGTTTTCTTGCCCAGCACGCTTAGGCTGCTGCACAGTCTTTTCAATAAAGGTGTATTTTTACTTTAAAAGCAAGTAGTAGTGTGGCTATACAGTTCGTGGTTTGTTGCTTTGTGTTTTTTGGTGTTTTTTCTTCTTTTTTCTTTTTTTTTCCATTTTTTATTGTAACTTTAAACTTATAACTGACAAGTGTATTGGTGTATCTTGCTTGTGTAAAAAGGCTGGAGAAGTTGGTGCTTTTATTTCTGTATCTGAGAGGAAATTGCCAAGAGTGTAAAAAAACCCAACAAACAAAAGGAAAAGCCCCCACGAACAAAACCCTGCGATTAACAACAGCAGCAGAGATTGCCCTGATGTGCCAGTTTAGAGCATCGTTGTAATGTAGTAAATGCAGATCAAACGCTTGGTTTCCTTATTTTAGCATGATTATATGGACACTTTCCTTATCCGGGGAAAATGCGGAGGCACTCAGCAATTGGGGTTACAAAGTTACCAGAATGCATCAGGGTTAAGACTTCGGTACAGGCTGTGCTGGGTCAGCTGTGGGAGCAATTTCATATCCCTGAGACCAATCTGGTACGTTTTAGGCAATGTGTGTGTAGAAGTTATTTAGAAATTATCCCATGTTTGTGCAAACCGGGTGTCAGATGTCAAGGTATTTATTAAGTTGCTTTTATAAAAAAAAAAGGAGGGGAGATTCACAGTGTAGATCAAAATCTTGTGAAATCTCATTTAAAAAAGATTTGTATTTACATTAAAAAAGGCGTGTGGGACTTCCTGATAAAGTGCACAGACTCCTGTAACTTTCTGAATGGTCTAAATGGATGATTTAAAATGCAAAGGGGATGGGGCGTTTACCTGCGAGCAATTTTTTTGGCCGTGAGCAATTTTTTATTTTTTTTCCCTTTCTGAGTTACATCCCCCTGAAAATGGGGGGGTTTAGAAAGAAACTGCTGACACAGCCTTGACTACAGAGCAGTGCCCTGCGTGCTGCTGCAATAATTGCCCAGGCAGTGTTTTCCTGCTTCCCTGCCATTGTGCTGCACGTCGCTCTAATTCATTCCATTTTTAACTTTCCCAAAGTTTGGTGCCATCGCGAGCCCCCGGCGTGAGCAGCCGCCGGAGGAGCGGGGCTGGCAGAGTAGCGTGGACTTGTTAATCTCAGCCTGATCTTGTCAGAAACAGCAGAGCAGAGGGAGAGAGGGAGAAGAACTCCGGCTGGGGCAGCGCTCCAAAGGTTCGTCGCTGGTTTTTGTGCCTAAATGACGCCTCCGCGGCGAAGCGTGGGGTGTGCGGGGCGTTGCGGGGTTCGCTGGCGGGGCTGGGAGCGCCTTTGGCCGCGTTGTTTGTGTGCCGGGGGGGAGGTTTTTGCCTCGATGTGCGCGGAGAGAAGCGAGTGGTGTGTGTGTGCTCTCTCTGTGTGTGTGTGTGTGTCTGTGTGTGTTACGGCCGGGGAAACGCTGAAGAAGAAGAAACCCTGTTGGTTCTCCATGCAAATGACCGCTTTGGTTGTAACAAAAGCCTTGATGTTGGGCTTGGAAAAATGATCTGACAGTGTAACAACCCCAGGCCACTTTCGCCATGTTTTTGTTTATTCATGTTTCATTCCGTTTTCCGTCGCTATCTCGCAGATGTTTCCAATTTCACTGTTTGGTGTGTTTTGGTTTTTATTTTTTTCCTTTTTTAATTTTTTTTTGTAACACCGTCGAGCCTTTTTGGAGTTAGCAAGAAAACATGTGAAAGAATGTTAACAAAACAGAGAGGTGTTGCAGATGTTTATACTTTAGTTCTTGCGTTGCGCCTGGCGATTCTGGCAGGAGGGATTCAGGGCATATGAAGGAACGTAAGAAGCATCTGTTTTACCTACCGAGCCTGTAATTTCGAAATGTGCCCATTGTAAC